GTCGCCACATTGTTGTTTTTTTGTTTTTGGGTGGGGTGGGGGGGGGGGGGGGGGGGTGTGGCAGTGGTTGTTAAACATCTGTCAATTTATTACACCAATTAGCAACCAATTAAAGGTTGGGTAATAGTTAGGTTGTAGTACTTTATAGTATTTAGAAATTAGGGAAAATGTTACTTTTTATGTAAGTGTGTCCTGGTGGACACTACACTATATCAAACAAACATCAGGCCCAGTCAGACAGAAATGAATGTAGCAGCAACTGTAAAAACATACCTGTGTCATTGCAATTTTATGTGAAGGTCTTGTTTTGCTAGATTGAAATTCATGGCAAATGATTGACAGGAGAGGTGGACGTTATTCTGCTGCACACACAAAGCACTTGTTCTGAGAAATTAAACATTAACCAAACCTCATTTGAAATAATGGGACACCAAAAAGATGATTTGCATCAGAGTTGAATTCCAGTCCACATATCCAGCAGTGCAGTGGTCTGACACATAGAAACAGTAAAGTATGTATTAACATAATTGTTTATGGGGTTAAAACCTGAAACAAAAGTATTTCCTCATTTAACCTCCTTGTGTGGCAGTAGGTAAATCAGTAAAAAGAATCTACATTTAATTCATCGTTACCTCATTCAGAAGGTGAAATGCCTATTAGTCAACAATTATTAACAAAGGTCTAACACAGAATTTCATTTAGAAGCAAACCCACTGCAGCTTGAAAAAAAGAAAGTAGAAAAATAACCGTTTATCTATATACGATTTCACGCCTTATGAACTTGCATTATGTTTATTTACCCTTACCCAAATTATATATTAACTTTTCTTAACTTGAGCCAATCTCTAATCCCAAGTATTAACTCATTCGTTCCCCTGTCCCTGGATTTAGTGCTAAGTATCAGAGAAACGCTTCAGTATTTAAAGTGTAACTTTCTAGATTACGAACTTGTTCGAAAGGACAAACCATAGTTGCACTACGCCATCTTGTGGTGACTAATAAGAGTGACCACAGATTGCACGTGAATTTGAGTGGGGCAAAGAACGAATGACAAAAATGATTTTTTTCAATTCCTTTATTACTTTTCTGACAAATATATATACGAAGGATTTCCCTCTGAAGGAAACAATCTTTTAAGCATACGTTTACAGCAAAATCATTCCTGCAAAGAAACAGGTGACATTAGAAATCATCTGAGAAGAACATGGAACTACTTCTACTTGTGCCCAGGACAGAGTAAGGGTGCAATTCCATAGGTATAATGGATCTATCGATACAGAAATCAGTCTGGTCATTTTATGATAAAAATAGAGTTGTTTCACACAGCAATGGGACAAATTTTGACTTATGTATAATCATAACACATGGGGTGAATTATTAGATTTGCATCAAAGGCACACAAGCATTGATAACCATCAGTGGAGCATTGCTTTTTTTCCCCCCCATGACATTGGTCCCACTGGGCAATTTCATAGAACAGACTACAGACATAAAAAATAACGTAGAGACCGGTTTGCAGGAAAACGATGAAAGCAAATTTTAAAGAATTTAGATCAATGTACACAGAAATCTTTTGAATTAAGAAGACAAGATGGTAATGGTGGCATCTCAAATGCATTTCTAAAACCTGCTAACTGATGGAAGACCTCTAACACTTATAGAGGATGGAGCTCAGAGATAGATCTCTTTTTCTGGCCCATGAACTCCTGTAAGCTTCTTCTCCCTTCCCTGAAATCACTCTCCCTTCTTGAAAATGGCAAGATGACCTGGAGTCTAAGCAAAGTCTCAATGTTACTAAAACTTCTTATATGCGATGTCTTTAAGGTGTCGAGGACAGTAGTTGGAAGGTAGCCAGCCAAGGGATCGAACCATTTTTCCTTCCATGACTTAATCTCAGTGTGAAGCGAGGCCTGATCTGGTAAGTCCTCCTTGTACAGGCGGAACACCAGACCACTAAGGATGCTGGTTTCTACTTTGGACATTGCGTAAGGCACAATCTCAAGACACCTCATGGTATCCAATACCTTTTCTGTGAAGAGGTTGTCAATCTCTGCTATTGAGTGCTCCACAACTTTTAAGCTTGCTGATTCTTTGTAAAAGTCACCCAATGGCTCTAGAAGCACTGAATGCAACATAGGGACATGGAGTTTAAAAGCCAGTGTGACAGCTTCTTCAAACCAGACCTTGTGATGCGTGTCAATATCACTCTTCAGTTTATTGAGGGATTCTTTAACGGTGGGTATTGTTTTCACAGCAAGTAACATGTCTAAGGGTTTGCCCTGGAGAGAGTGGCTGAGCTCTTTAGTAACACTCAGGACGTGTTTTTGTACAACTGTAAAGAGGATAAAATCAAAATTTCTGATTTGATCCAAGTACTGTGATGCTTGCTGCTGGTTTGAAATACTTCCCTCACTTTTCAGCTCATTTAGGCAGAGCGTGACTGCCTCTAAAATCTCTACTATCACTTCGTGCATGCCATGACATTTCTCCCAGTTTTTGACGAGTTTGTCCTGCAGCTCACAGCCACTTCTTTCATCTTCCTTGAAGACGTAAAGTATCATGTCTTCCAGTTTGTTCTGACGTTCAGCATCTTCAGTGAGCCAGTGTAATATTTTGCTGACAAGAGAAGATGCATCAGCTGCTCCTTGAGCAGGAGAAGATTTGGCCAGCCACAGGTTGAGCGACAAAGCAGAAGAGACAGTTCTTACAGCCTGGGGATATTTTGTATTTATTGCTACACTCACCGCCCTCATCTGAGCTCCTAATTCACCCACACTTAGTGAAGCCTGTCCTCTGCAGTACTCCATGTTCAGCCCCCACTTCTCAGAGAGGACAGTCTCAATGGCTTCTGCAAGGGAAACTGGGTCTTCAATGAAAGGGATGAAGGCCAGCGTCTCCTCACACTGGATGTCCTCTTTGTGCAGGTACCTGATGCACAGGGGAATGTAGAGCTCTCCATCTATTTCAACAGCTTGCTGTGTAAAAATGGTGAAGAACTGAGAGTCCCAGAGTTCCTTGATGATCTGTTCGCGCAGCTGTGGCTCGTAGAAAGACACAGCTTGTCTTGGTTCTTGAACCACAGTCAGCGTCACTTCTGTATCAGCCGAAATCACATCCCCACCATTAGGCGCCGCTGCTCCAGTGGAAACCTCCAGTGACTCATCTGTATTTACTTCAGCTTAAAGAAAATAAGAGCTATAAATAACTCACACCAATCTTCACATGCAACAACAACACACACATGTTTACTAGAGCTGTCAAATCAGTCCTGTTTTTATCCCAATGATGGTGTTATGAATATGGAAAAATGCTAAGAAAATATACAGAACTATAACAAAATGTAGGTTCATAGAGTTGGTGGATTTTAGTCCTTACTGTACATCTTAACAATGCCTTGTAGAACACATCAAGCAAACAAGCTTACATCAAGAACATAGAGAGAATTATTGAATATGCAGTGCACCTCATTCTGCCTATGCGTTAAAAAGTTTTCTCGCTCTAATTTTTTAGAATGAAATACTTTGTCTTTTTGTGATGACAGATTTTCAGATTTTAATTGAACTTACCTTTGATCAACTTCAGCTTTTTTAAAGTTGTCATCACCTTCAGAACATATGAAAAATATAGTTAATTGCAGAGTTGCAAAATCCTTTTTATATGAATACTGCAATTATATGCTTGAGTTTCTAATTGTTTAAATCCTGTAATCATTAGAAACAAACATATTTACCTGAGACAGACAGGAGACACTATGTGGATCCACCTCAACACACTTCTCAATGACCTCTGGTAGCCTCTGCAGGGTTTTACAGTGGGAGAGGAGCATCACATGATCCACTATGCTGCCTTTGCATAAAGTGTTTTTCAACAGATCCCTTATGGAATTTAGTGTGGTCTTCATCAGATCATACTCCATACTAACACTGGGCAGGACAGCGACCAGCCTGAGCAGTAGAGTAATGGTAGGATGGTTCTTTGACTCAGGGTGAATCAGTGTTTCAGCAATGGATGTTGGTGGGGCAACATCCTGGAATTTGTCTCTCCACACAGAGGCCCAGATATTGACTTCCTGCTCTGCCGCTTCAGGCTCAGGTAGATCTGTAAGGTAGAGGCTGAATGGCTTTTCTGTGGACTCGGAAAGAATTGGTTGTGGGTTGCAGGAAGGCAGCAATGAGAGGACTGACAGGGCTTTCAAGTGACTCTCAGAGAAGCAGAACTTCATCTCATCAATAAGACTGTTGAGGAGAGGAACACTCAGATTTTCTCTGTAATATATCTCGGGTGATTCATAGTTGTTAGCTTCCTCTGAAAAGCACACTTGTTCAGGTGCTACCTTGGAGGCCAGCTGGAAGGCCTGCTCGAACCATGTGGAGTGCAAAGTACTCACATTTTCTAACATTTTGTTCAGAGTCTCTATGAGTGACGGGATTTTCTCTACTTCACAGAGGATGTCAGCGGGATTTCCGCAGCGAAAGACAGTGCTGCAGTTACGTAGAGGAGCACAAGCGTTCTTTAAAATCACAAGGGTGACAATGAAATCCATATTACGTAGAGCAGTGGAGAGGATTTGTGCATTCATCAATTTGGCTCCTGTGGCACTGGAGCTAACAACATCCAGGCAGCTGAGAATACCCTCTAATGTGTTAGCAAGTATATCAAAGAAGTCCTCTCTCTTTCTCCACCTCGAGCAACATGTTTCTGGGAACTCCTCCAGGGCTTCTCTTGGCATATCCAACAGCCCATCAACAGCCTGCGCCAACTGTCCCTCTAGACCAGGATACTGATCAAAGAACAGAAGCAGGTCTTCAGTTATATCCAACATTTTAGCTACTGAGGGGCAAGGCACACTCCCTACCAGCCAATGGGCAAGGCCACACGACTCACTTGGGGTTACAACACAGAGTGGGTAACTCTGCAGGAAATCCAAAGACATTTTCTTCAGGCTCTGGTACCCTGGGCCCATATGCATGAACGCCTGTCCTCGACATTGAGACATTGGTAACCCCCAGTCCTCAGTGAGAATCTTTGCAAGGTTATTTGCTTGTGTATCAACGTGACACTTTTCATGAAATGGCAAGAAACCCATCAGCTCAACTTTGGGGGCAGATTCTCCAACATACCTTATGAAAACAGGCAAATGCGTCTTGTCTGCAATTTTAATGGGTTTGTCTGTGATAAGTGAGAAGAAGGGGGATTCTTGAATTTCTTTGAGCATGGCATCTCTGATGGCATTGTTGAGGAGGTTGACCATGCCACCATCACCTTTGTTCTCTCTCTGGAACCAGTGGCACATGCTGAGCTCGTGGATTAAAAGGTCTTTGTCCTCTTCTGACAGATCGGAGAGACTGCAATTCTTTTTTCCAAGCAGTGCCGCAAATCTGAACACTGTTGCTAGACTTTGTCGATTATCTCCAGTACTGTCATTTTCATCCACTATCTCAACTTTTATTTCTTGAGCCACAATTTTGTCAGGGCACAGTTCAGGTTGGGGCTGCTCCACTGTCTCGTTGACAGGATCAACTACAGTATGGGGAAAATGGAAAACAGCACAACTATAATTGCAAACACAAAAAAGTTGAATAAATTGTTCTCTAAACAATGTGTAAGGATTTTAGTAAAATATGTATAATTTAGAATTGACCTCACCTTCCATGTTGTTTTCAGCATTCTTGTTGAAATTTTTGGATTCCTGGTCCTTTGGGAAATAAATGAGAACAATGGTTAGCCCTATAGCCATATAAATTAATAACTTAGACAGAATCAATAAATTAAGCACACGCATTAAGTCACATTAAGATTACAAACACATACCAGACAAATACCCTCCAATGCTTGGGGAGTAATCTTCAAACACTGAGCAACCATGCGATCCAGATCTCTCTTGAAGTCCGTTCCCACCTGCAGCATGGCCAAGCATGTGGACCTGTCTTTAGGATCTGTATTTCTCAGATATTCCTGGAATTTTTTGTGGCGCATTACAACATCACAATCTTCCAGCGCTGTGCTTGGTAACACAGCCATAATCCTTAGCAGTGTATTGATGTTTCCAAAGTATTGCATTAGTGGCAAACGCAATGTATGAAATATGGAGCTTGGGACAGTCACAGAAGCCACCTTGGTTTTCCAAGTTACCCTCCAACAGCAAAGCTCAGTGAAAAAGTTGTCAGCGTCAGGAAGATCACTGCTGTAGAGCGGGGGCTTTGACTTCAATCTCTCAAACATGTAACTGACTGTGACAGAGCACGGCACCAGAGAGAGGAAGTTGAGAGCTTCAATGTGGTCATCTGAAAAATGGTCCTTAACTGTATTAATTAGGTTATCCACCAGGGGCACACTTAAACTGTCTTTGTAGTAACCAACTGGCTTTATCATACCATCCTTTGGCAAAGACTGTTCAGGCACTTCAATCTGTACTTTAAGATTTTTTGCCATCGCACATGCCTCATCAAACCAGTTTTGGTGAAACACCTTCATATTTGTTTTAACTCTGTTCAGGGAAGCCACAATACCACTGATTTGGCAAAGATGAGACACAGCACTGAAGTGGTCTTTTTGAAGACCAGCACTCAGCTCTCTGGTAAAGGAGGATGCATTCTTTAAAACCACCATGGCCATGATGAAGTCAAACTCCAACAAATTGCCAAGAAGGGCACCAGCCTGCTCTGACATCACTGAGGTCCACCTCTGTGGGTTGTTCTTTACTTTCTCCAAACATTCAACCAAGGGCTCCATCATCTGCACAAACACCTCATAGGAATCGTGCTTCTCCGGCCACTGGAGACAGAATGTCCCTTGCAACCTCTGGGCCTTTTCATAGCTTTCTTTCAGACCATTGGCTATCACTTGGTCAAGCTGTTTTTCTAAATTAGCACTGCTACCAAAAAACGTCAAAACGTCTTCAAATGTGTCTATAGCTCTTTTAACTGCAGGGACTGGGGTGGTCTTTGACCACCAAGTGTTAAATGAGTAGGCTGAGCAGTGTGTGCTTATAGCAAGAGGATACTTCTCTTGGACTTTACAGGCAAAAGCTTTCAGCTTGTAAGAGACATCACCAGAGCCTAGGTATGCTTGACCTCTGCAGTTGTTCAAATCAAGACGCCACACTTCCGTAACTATTTCCATGAGACGCTGCACCATCATATCGCAATCGAGATCAACCTCAAGGAATCCAATCAGCTCCAGTCGCATGACATCGAAACTGTCCACAAAGCGTAGAAAGAGTGGGAGGTAGTCTTTCTCCCCAAATTTGACAACACGGTCAATAAACAAGGAAAAGAATGAACTTCCCACTTCAGTGAGGATTCTCTCCCTGACAGCACTCTCACACACTGAGAGAACTTCTTTCATTTCAGACTTGGTGACATATTCAACTTCTCCATCCTGAGCAGAATTGTCACTAGCTACCCTGTTTTGACTAGTGAATGCAGCTGTCATCGCAGACTGTAAGGCAGCTTTGAGAGCTTCTCGATCAGTCTCTGCACATTTCATCTCCACAAGCCTTTCAGCATCCATCTCAAGATTTAAGATCTGTAATTCTTCTTCAGTGTCTTTTTCTGCATGGTTTCCGTGGGCTTCCACTGAAATGAGAAGAGGACAGTTGTACGTTAAATAAACCATTCATACATCTTAGTTGGGAACAAGATAGCGTTTAATTTAAACACATGCAAGAAGGCCACAAAATTATTTGAAATGACTGGTGTACTTTATTTAAATTGTCTTACATTTGATAGGTTTTTCTTTTGTGTCTTCATTCTGTAATAGACAAACAGAGAAAAATATTAATATTTTATATAAGAAAAACTTGTTTTAAAATTAGTTATATTTTGTGGTGTCTGTGGTAAATAAAAGTCTACACACTGTGTGAAGCAGCTGCAGGATGTCTGGATGCTTTTGGACGTACAATTCCACCATTTGTTCAACACTGAAGTGCACATCTTGGTTGACATAAATATATGCCATGCTGCACTGTCGTTGGTCCACTGGTGTGGCTTTTAAGTAGGCCTGGCATCGTTCCAGTACCATGTGATACTGGCCGTACACGTCTGCCTCTGCGTTGACACACGGAACAGTGCCCAAGACGCGCAGCAAGCTCTGGACATTCGGATAAAACTCTATATCAGGAATCTTGAGAGTGGCAAAGACTGTGGTTGGTAGAATTCTGCGCTTGCTGGCATGCCTCCACTTCACTTCCCAACAGCCCAGCTCTTCGTAGAACGAGTCTGGCCTTGCCAGGTTGTTCAAGTTAGCATCTGCTACTTTATCTCTGCGAATGCTAAAATTGTGGTCAGCCATGTAGGATGGCACAAGTGAAAGCCATCGCAGAATCCTCACCATCTCAACGCTAAACACCCTCTTCAACTCTGCAACAAGATACTGTAAGATTGGCCTGCTCAGAGTTTCTCTGTAAAAGTCCTCCAGTGGTGTTTCAGCTGCATCTTCATGGTCAACTTCTGGTTTGATAACCTCTACTCCCAGCTTTTTGGCTCGGCCAACTGCATCTGCAATCCATTTCTTGTGAAAAACAGCAAGCTCCTGTTGATATTTGTTCACCAGCTTTAAGGCATTGGAAATGGTGTACTGCAAGGTACTGCTGATGCTTATTATTCCCCTGAGACTTGAGTTGAGTATACTCACACAACAGAGTGTGTTCTTCAGAACAATAAGTGTGATGATGAAGTTGAAATTCCTCAAAACCAGCTTGAGCTTTGCCATCTGTTCAGCAGTCTCTTCATCTACTTTTGAAATCATCTCATTGATGCTGTTGAGAAATGGCTCCAGAATCTCTATCATTGTCTGGAAGGCATCAGTGCTATATTCCCAATTCCCACTGATAGCTGCTTTAATTCTGTCCACTTCACCTTTTATATGCCCATAAGTCATCTGGATATTTCCCTCCAATCTACTGGATAGCTCTGGTGTTCTCCTGAGTAATGAGGCCACTTCCTCAACAGTGTCTGCAGTCTTCTGAATGGAGGGCATTGGCATGCAGCGAATGATCCATATGTTGAATGCATATGGTTCACTTGGTGCCAGAACTACCTGTGGAAACTCCTGAAGAATCTTGCAGGTTAGGTCCCGAATTTTCTGGCAAATACTGCCTGTAACTAGGTAAGTGAGTCCTCTGCAGTGCTCCATCCTCAGCCCCCACTTGTTTCTTAACTCAGAAAGGAGCATGTAAAAGAGATTCTCTGCATCAAGATCACATGGCAGAAAACCAATCAGGTACTTCTGTGGGAACCCAGAGACAGTAACAGACCTGATGAAAATTGGGATCTGTTCCTTGCCCTCTATGCTCGTCACATCCTGAAGCAGAATAGAGAAGAAGCGTGCCTGTCTGAGGCTGTTCTGGATCTCCTCCTGCATGAGGTTCTCGCTGAACTGCAGAATTTCCTTCTTGTCGATTTTCTCCACACAGATAGGATTGAGGGCTTGCTGAACCCGAGCACCACCAAGCTCATCGGTGTTGATGTTTGCATCATTGATGCTGAATCCAGTCAGTGCCAAAATCTCTTTAAAATACACTTTTAGAGTCTCTTTTGCTTTGGAGCCGACTCCATCCTCTGGGATTTGGTCATCATTCTGTAGTTTAGGTATTTCACTATACTCTTCAGATATGTCTCTCGTCTGTCCAGTCACTTCTAAACCATCTGTGTTATCTGCTAAAACAAAAGAATTAATGACGGTTGTTCTGATACACTATAATTATAATGTAATTATTGATACAGACATTGCTTAATCCCTGTACCTTTCGTTTTTTTCACAGAGGTTGGCTCATCATCACACTAAAAAGAAAAATGACAATTACAAAATTGGCACACAAAAAAAAATTTCATTTTGTTTTTTATAAAAAAAAAATTCTTACAGGATCTCCTGCTCGTTTTCTGTTGCTGGCAGGTTGGTTATTCTCAGCTAATGTGTGGTCAAATATTGTTGGAACAGCATCTTCACTCAGGACCCAACAAGAGGCACCCTGGAATCCAGAAAAGAGAAAAAAATATATATATATTTAACAATAATAATTCTGCAATAGTAAGTCAATGACCAGCTGACTATAAACTATTCTAATTTTGTAAATAAAATTATAATCATTTTAGGTTATTTTAACCTCAAAAGGTTGAGTTCTTCTGAGGCCAAGATTCTGCCAGGATTAAGCAGATCTAATGACTACTTCACTAACTGAAAGGTATGCTAATTAAGAAAGAAATACAGGTGTTTTCATTTTTATTACTTAACCTGTGTTATGTATGTTCCAGTAAATACAGTGCCTTATGTTGATGGACAATGTTGGTTTATTATAAAACAATCAAACCCTTTCTGCCATTTGACATTAAAAAACCCACAAGGGCTTGTCACCTGTTGAGAAATCATAGAGGGATCAAAGTGCTTTGCACAGAGTTTGTACAGTTTATGCAACTGTTCCGGAGGTTCTGATGACAAATCTTCACGATGACAGTTGTTCAACCATTGTTTACAACTGGAAAAAAAAACAGAGGGTGGTATTAGGTTGCAACGTGTGAATAATAAAACATTTTCTTTTCAACCACTAAATTTATTTGTTCGTAAATCTGATCTCCTAATCAAAAGTGGCACAAACCTTTTAAAAGAAAAGTTTTTGGGAATACTTTAGCATCACTTTCTATTATCGTCACAACAATTTTGCTGTGATTGTTAAATCATTGTTTCAATGTTAAGCTGTGTGTACAAAACCATATATGCTGAAATGCGAGTAAAAATGGACAGTAGTGGACATGGTTTATTTTTGTGTGTGTATGGCATTGCAGAAAAGGATTCTCGGAAACAAGTGAAATAAATGTGTTGTAAACAACTAAATGATCACTTGTGACCTAATTGTAGGTTACCATGACCTAACCACTTCTCTGGGTTCACTTGAAAATTCTGAGTTAAGTTTTTGTAGTTACTCTGTCCAGAATATGTGGCCATAGTGTTTGGTGTATAAAAATGTTATCACTGTCAGGTTGTCAATGTAAAATTGATGTCAGACTTTGTAGTTGGTGGTATAATTTAAATATTTCTGAAGGGTTATACTGTTACTTTGACTCCTATCAGGAACTAACGAATAGGTTGCACCAAACTGTGCCTTCTTCAACCATACATCAAAATGAAAAAAAAAAGTAAAAACACAAGATTAATAGTGACATGCAGAAAATGTAATTATAAAGTATAAATGCAGAAACTTAAAAGTTGAATTTCTTACTAGTTCCTCAAGCTTATTCAATGGCTTTAAGTAATGAATGTACCGTAGTATATTAAGGTGGATTCATATGTCCTGGAGCAAATTTGATTAATCAACAATGAAACACACAGGTTAAGTGACAAATGACAGACAAAAGCCGACTACATGAACACATACTGTATCCATTCCAGTGTCTTTTTTCATTGGCCTAGGAACTGGTATCCTTATGGGATACGAGGATGTAAAATAAATAAATATGTACGTATTGCATGGAAAATTACAAAAGTATTTTTATATGAAATGCAATTTTAAACAAATACTGGTATTTTTATATCCCTCACCAGTCCCAGCTTTGTATGAAATGCAATTTTAAACAAATACTGTTTGTAGTGGGGAGCTTCATGCTTTTATCTCGTCATCAGTTTGATCCCTGGAAAACGTTGACCACTGGCTTTTCTGCGCAGTCACTCATGTATTTTCCACAGAAGAGTATAAACTAATATTACCCAAATTATTTATTAAACATATTTGCATCAAACGCGATCTTAAAATTTTGAGTCGGTAGCAATGGGACACAGGTATGTGTTACAGTATTCATTCATACGGGTAACACCTGTCAAAACGACCGAAGCATCAGATTTGAAATTTTCTACTAAGTACTGTACAGCCACTGGTATTCTTTAACTATACAGTGTCGAAGCAATTACCAATGAATAATATGCCTCATCCCACAAAAGTCATTTTTACACCACACGCCATAGAAACACATCCAGTGCCGTTAAGTCAATGGCGATTTCAGTTACAATACAAAAAAGTTTTTAACTAAGGTATTAAGCCATTTGTGGAGGCGGCTTCCACAATGGTAATCGAATTGTATAAATACAAAACATGAATATCCATCTTACAAATTTAAAATAATTAACCGGGTCAATTTCACTTTTTTCTTTCAAGAGTAACTAGTCTGCGCCATTTTCCAGAGTTGTATCGCTGTTAGCCAACATGCGGCTAAGGTGTTAGCAGTGAATAGGGAATACATTCACGGTGCATGGTCTTGGCTTATTAATTATCACGTAATCACTTTAATAGTGGTATTTCTTACCGCCCTGGATCCGCAGGGAAGCTGAAAAGCGCAGTGGTGGCTTCTCCTGGTTTGAAATCACAGCTCAGTACGGCGCAGCAGTCAGTCATTTTGATCTGCACCGAGGCTAGCTGTTAAGTTAGCCGCTTAGCAGGCGGTTACACGCTACCTTAGCTTAGCCTAATGTGAGTAAAGGTGCAGCACAGTCTACACAGACATGCCTCCGGCACAACCTACAACCGACACGGTTCTCTTTCGGTGTTTCCTTCGCTTGGTGGTTGTTTTGTGATCTAAGAATCTTGTAAATCCATGCTTTAAAAAGTTGATATTATGTGCTGAGCAAAGACTCCGAAAGCGTGTTATCCCATCAACCAGGAACTACAACGAGAAGTACCTCGTGTGGGCCACCAGATGGCACAGTGGTCCCGCCAGGACAGGATAAGGTGTTAGGGTAACGAGAGAACAAAGCGGGCAAACGATCCATACCATGCTGTGTGCTGGACCTAGTTCAAATGCTTTTGATCGAACTGTAGTCTAATGTTTTCTCTCTGTGTGGTTCCCTATGACAGAGAGCAACAGAAAAATAGACGATGTCCTGTTTAAACTGTCTGTTAACCATTCTCTTGTTGATTTTGACGCCCAGCTTCACACTCAGACGTGTGATGCTAAATCTATGTGCTTCAACCTGGCTGTTACGGAATAGTGAAGAGAGAATGCCTTTTTGACCTACTTCACCAAACATCCTGTTAATGGCGGTTAGAGAATGATCCTGAACAGAGCACACTAACTGCAATGTGCAATGCCCGTGTACTATTTAAATATATTCTTGTAAACTGTACATTTTACCACACTCTGCTGTTCACGGTTTTAATTTGCACGCAGTTTGCTGCTAAATTAACTAAACTGCTTTTTATTTTTAAGATAAAGATTGTTAAAAGCTGTTGAATTGATTGTAAGAGATTTGGGTTTATTATCAGTGGATCGTGAATTCTGATCTGTAGTGTATTGAGCGAGCACACACCGGTGTATTTATTTAAGGTATGAACTTCATCCTGTGCAGCCTTGCTAAGTGGTCTTCAGCAAAATTGTACCAGCAAGCATCATTGAGCTATGACTGACCACCTGCTCCTCTTCTTCCTCTTTTTCTTTTGGCTTTGTCCCTTTTTTTTCAGGGGTTGCCACAGCGAATCATTGATTTCCATCTCCCCCTGTTCTGTACATCTTCTACTCTGACTCCAACTATCTGCATGTCCTCCCTCACTGCATCCATATACTGTATGTATATATGTGTATATATACGTGTATATATATATATACCTGCTCCAATAAGAGAAAAAGATGACACCTGTAAGTTCTGCATCAACTAATGGAGCATAATCAACATAGTGACTAGGAAAACTCTTACCTGTTGCATCAGATTGCCCTGGCCCACCATGTGATTGCAGGATCCAGCTGACTTAGATCCCTAATCTAACATAAACTTCTCTGTATGAAAGAGCATTTTGCAAGCGATCCTAGGGGAGAACTGATAAAAGACTTTCATGTTGTTTAACAAATATTTATTTTGGAAGTGGAAAATCTTTTACACACAGACTGAAAAATACTCTTCCATCTGGTTAATTCAAAACAGAACAGTCTAAACTAAAAATCTGAATCACAGAGCAGCTAGTGACTCCGCTTTTGTTTATACGAGACAGTGTATACTAAACAAATACAAGGGTGATGCTGACATACTGAGCTGAGGTGAAAAAACAATTAATTTTATTTGAGTAAAAAAACAACAATGTTGTGCTTCTTTAATAAATCTGCATCTCAAAACAACATGGACAGTCAACAAATTCATTTCAGTGGCTCAGACACTTCCTGCTGTTTCTGGTTCTGAATTTAAACTTTCTGTTTTTGGACCAGATGTAGAATGATGTCATTAAACACAGTTTTACTAAACAAAAACAATACTTATACTGTATATTCACACGTTTATCTTTACATTTGATATAAAACACACATCAAATTTGAAACTTTTTTGACAATCCTGAAGGCAAAAAATGAAAACGGTATTTAACAACATATACAGATGACATTTATCAAAACAAAATTTAAAAACATTTAAAAAAGACATTTTGTACAAAGGATAACCAAGACTTCCCAACTCAGCTGTCTATTCAGAAGTGTTACATTCAACCTGACCTGACTCTCCATCTCCCTCCTCCCCTCTAGAGTACGTGTTCATATAGACCTCAACCATTGTGTCCAAATCATATGCAACGTCATGGTTTACGTTCAAGAGAGCAAGACTTTTTGATTTGCATTGATCAGGAGTGTTTTTCATATACATTCTGAAGCGCATGACTGCAACATTGCAGCTGTCTTCCAGGGCTAGAGTCGGCACTATTCCAATCAGTCTCAGGAGTGCAAGCATGTTTGGGAAGAACTTCACGTCTGCCAGCTGCAATGTTTCATGGAGACTGGATGGAAAAGTCTCACCTTTTCCTTTTTTGCTCCATTTAACCCACCAACAGTGGAGTTCAGCAGAGAGGGTTTCTGCATTGGGAATGTCATTTTTAAAAATCTGCACACTCTCCTCCTCAGGTTTACTAGACTTTTGCTGCTCTATGACTGCAGGAACCAGCGACAGGCACCGCAGGAACTTCAGGTGGTCTTCACTAAAAAGATCATTGATTTCTTTGATGATGTGGTTCACCACAGGGACAGTTAAATGGTTCTTGTAGTAACTATCAGGTTTATTGGTTTGTGATTCTGATGCTCGCTTTCTCAAGTAAGCCTGAGGAAGCGTTACAGGGATCTCCATGCCAACAGCCAAATTAACAGCTTCATCATTCCAGAACTCATGATATACGTCAATGTTGTCCGATACCTCCTTCAGAGAGTGCAGAACGGCTTTTAAACTGGTTGATGCAAAATGGACATCTGATTCTTTCCCTTGCATATTCTTTGCAAATGCCTGAGTGAGAATCATTGTGTTTTTGAGTATGACCAAAGCCATGATGAACTCAAAATCAGTTAATGCTTTTGATATCTCTAAGGCATCATGTGTAACTTTATCGCTCCACCTCATGTCTTCATTGTCATGCACGCTGTCCACACAGAGCAGGAGAGCCTCTAGCAGGTCCAAAGCGACATCAAAAGCATTGTCTTGTCTCGTCCAGCTTGTACGAGAACTCTCCTTCAGTTCATTTGCTCTTTCTTCTTTGTCTGGGTAGAGAACTGAAATGGCGTGTTCCAACTCCAATTGCAGCTGCTGCGACTGACTGAAGAACGACTCGATCTTTCTCAAAGTTGACATGACAAGCTGAACACCCGACAAAGCCATACCATCAGCAAGTGAAGTGTTCAGTGTGTGGGTAGATCCCAGTGTTAGTACTGTCATCGGATACTTTTCCATTACTTTGGCAGAAAATTTTTTTATTTTACTAAAGTGTGCTCCAGTGTAGGAATGAGCTTGACCTCTGCACTGTTCCATGTTTAGACCCCATTGGTCGGTCAATTCAGACAAAAGTTTCTCTGCCAGCACTTCACCGTCACCTTCAAAATTCAGAAATCCAAAAAACCTCTCTTGCTGGCAGTTAGACTGGTCCATAAAACGGACAAACACAGGAAGATAAAATGTTCCTGAGATTTTTACCAGCTCCTGGGTGATTAGTGAAAAAAAGCCATTTTGTTTTACTTCCTCTACTAGTTTACTGCGGACATACTTTTCACAAACCTCAATCAACTGAGTCAGTTCACCTGAGGAAAAGTACTCCTTTTTCTCCTCATACTTCTTCTTTAAAACGTCATCTCCACAATTCATGCAATATTCTAACAGTGCCTGAAGATTACTTGGCCCAAGATCATCCTGTTTCATTTCACCAGGTCCAGTAGGAGAAATGTTTTGCTCTGCTAACAGTACAAGAACTTCAAACAGTGACTTGAAATACTCTTTGGTTTCATCTTCCTCGGAAAAAGGCTGAACATCTTCCTGGGCTGTGTCTGCTTTAGACATCTTGATTTCTACAAGATAATGAAAACAGTTGCAGGACAGAATCTGAATTGTTTTTTAATTCTCTGCTAATATTTCTTACTTACTTTTCCTCCCCTCATTTTCCGTTTCATCTTCTCTGGTCTACAAAAACAAAGGGATATGATGAAAGTATGAATAATAAAAAATAATCAAACTGATTATGTTGTACATCCAAACCTTTCTATTTTGCTCACCTCCGTGTTGCGCTTGACCTGAGCATTTTGAGATTGGCTTGGTGTATCCAAAACACTTGGGGTGGCATCATCCCTCAACATTTTACCCTTGGCATTGCAAACAAACACAGTTTAGTAAAACAATGTCTGTCTTTTCCTCTAACAGTCAATTTGGATTACTCAAAATACACACAGAGCTGCATTTCCTCATTGAACTATACACCATTTTATATTAGAGTAATGGTGACAATGGAATATTTACATTGTCTATAGCAATTCAGCAAAATGGTTAGGAAAACACTGCTCACTTCATCAATCAGAGACGTGTCGAAATGCTTTCCACAAACTCTGTAGTATCTGTGCAGCTGGTCTGGTGACATTTCTGTGAGATATTTTCTTTCGCATATCCCAGCCCACTTCTTGCACCTAAAATCAAGAATTACTAAAATTACTGTCAACAAAAAGTAATGCTAGTGGTCCCATCAGATGCTACACACACAATTATTTAATGCATGTCTGCATTTGTAATGATTACTGTGAAGAAATACAGAATACATAAAAGCTGTGTATGAACATACTAACACATAGTGATGAATTAACCTGTAGGTATTTATGTTTATGTTTGTATTGCAGTTTTCAACAGTCTTAGCATTTGCATTGACAGGTCTATTTTATGCAGGGGAACAGGATAAAATAATTTGTTTGTACTGCAACTAAGCAATACGTACTTGGTCCTTCTAAATCCATCTTTGCATTAAAAAGGATAAAAAAATAAATGTATCAAATGGAGTTATACTGCATGATAATAGTGCATGTTCTCTCTCAAAATTGGTTTTGAATCGTGGATGTACACATGGCATAGTGCAAACCAAACTGAGACCTGTTTAAGAAACAGAGGAACTGGACTTTCTCTAGCAGCTTTACAAACGTGAACACGCGAGAACGTCAAATTCTGGGCTTTCAAAACAAATGATGTAGAGAAATGGACAACCGTTAACTTAGTTACAATGAGGTTTCTTGTTTGAGGCAATTGTGTTTATCTGAACGAAACATGACATTTTAACGAGCATTTAGTGTATTACATAAAAGTTTTCCATGTAGCTACAGATTGTTTGTTTAATGGGCATCGCTACAACATTGATTACCTTTCTGCGTCGCGGGGAAACCTGAAGAGTGGCTGAGGATCCCATTTTCCAGTACTGCACCCTAACACAGCACAGCGATTCTGCATTATCACTGTTATTTTATTCTTATATTAACTGTAAGATTTCTCTGGCGATAGCTATAGGCTAACGTTACTTCAAATGCATAACCACCACCTGACTTCCGCTCTCATTTTCAAATTAAGATGCATTTACCTATTTGCAATTACAGTAAATCATTCGTTTATACGATATGGACAATCATTATCATTGTCGTTATCATTATTATTATTATTACATTCTTTTTAAATAACCATGATTTGTGAAGTGGCCTTTACGTAAATAGATTTCGAATTATTAAATTGAATAAAACAATCTGCGTTATAGTATATTTATTACAGCCCCCTCCTATTATAAATACGGGTTCTTTTACCATGTATTTGAAAAGTTCCACTCGATAGACAAACAAAGATTTTATTTGTAAACGTTTGGGTAGGGTGGTCTTTTTTATTTTGAAAGTAAAAGGAGTATCCTTGTTTCGTTTTGAAAAACATGACGTGTTCAGCAGCCAATAGCTCAACACAGACTGTATGTCGTATCAAAAGCAGAGCCCGCGCTGCAGTTTTCTCCGATGACATCCCATAATCCTCCGCGGTCTCTTAAGGAAGCAAAACCTTAAAAATATGCCCAGACATATTCAATTCAAATTTGCAAGAAGATGCAGATACCACCACTACCATTTACTATCACTTATTACCACCACTATTACTTTTATATTATTATTATTGTTGTTGTTGCATCATTGCCTGTGGCATTCAAACCATAATCTGACAATTTGTACAGACATATTTATGTTTTTCACACACATTCAGGCAAAACATAAATATATTGTTTTAGAAGGGAAACAATCAGCAGCTGTAATGTAGGGCAGGATGTACATTTCTAGAGTTTACACTGACCAATTTAAAAAGATTTTGCAGTAACTATATAACCATGTTAGACAGGTATCGTTATAGCTGGAATTGCCTAGACTTGTCTGGACTTGCCATTGATGATGTCAGAACCTGACAGTCAGACCTGCTAAAGAAGATGCTTCAATCAGTGGCACAAGTCAATCCTCATCGCCATGCTACACACACACCTATTGATATTTTATTACTTTTTGTTATATTTTGTATTACATTTATTAATTTTATTTTACTACTTATTTGTCAGTCAACACCTATGAACAGCCTATCAGTACTGAGTATCTTCTTTGTCTTTTTGGTGAGATAAACAGTAATCAAGGAATGTATTTATCAATGTTAATTCAGAAAATAATATTATTATTAGATAATAATTTGATATATATTAGATAATAATTATTTTATTATCTACATTTATTTTAATGCTGCATTAATGTCACCCATGGATTTATAAAGTTCTATCTATTTATCGCGTCTCAGTATAAAATCTTAATGTAGATGAATGTAAAGCAGTTTCAAACATTTTTGTCTGTTGACAACTACGACTGTTTTGGGCGTAGTTACTCAGCACAACCAGTATGAGTGGAATCCTATTTGGTTTGAAACGTTCAGTTCAAATAGAGGGAACGAACACTAGACGGAATGAAAAAAGAAATCTCGTGATCGCTGACTCCTGCCTGGAAATCCGAAGGCATCCTATTTGAAAATCCTGTTCTCTCGCGATACTTTATTTCGACCAATCACATTGCAGCAGCAGCCAAGTCAAATTGAATGCTGTTTTCCTTCAGACGCTCAGTAAGGGTTCAGATCACTCTACTCGGCAACTTTAGAGGAGACATCTCCTCGTGGCGATCTACGAATTGCTGAGACTGGTAAGTCAAACGCTTGTGTTATTGATCTTAAACAATTTTATATGACAGTCAACAAAACGCAAATAAGTTTGTTACTTTCGCTACCATTAAAACTGTCTACAAAACCGCGTCTTTGCTATTCAACGTTAGAGCTAGTGGCAGGTAGTGTGGTTGGTGAGATAGTCTTTTTGAATGTTAAAGATGTAACGAAAGTTAGATGCTACTAAATTGCAACAAATGCTCGTTTGCCCATGTGCCATGACCCACTTTTAATTATTATATATGTGCTTTCAGAAAACTAAACAATCCTTTGACGCAATGGACAACGTCACAGTTTCTAAACGAAACAAATTTAATAAAGTAAGTTAACGTAACTGATCCCCCCCCCCCTCCCCTTGTATTGTAATCTTAAAGCGAATGCTGCCTAACCCCTGTCACAATACGCATTATTTTAGGTAAACAAGGAGAATGCTCAGCCAGCCAAAGGAAGCAAGCCAATTTTAAAACGAGATAAGACATCTGTTGTTCCATTCCATCTTAAAAGCAATGAGAAAGAAGAGGGTGTGACAAATAATGTCCTTCTTAAAGCCAGAGGGAAACAGACAGACACACGGTCTGCATCCAATGAAGCTCAAAAAAAGATAAAAACTCTGCAGAAACAAGATGCTTCTTCTGATGTCACGCAACAGCAAACACACAGGAAGGCATTCAGAAGAGACCAGGCTGAGAAAAACAAAAAGATCACGACAGAAGCTCCAGTAAAAGCCCCAACAGCTCTGCAAGCACCCAAGCCTGCTCCAGGCATGTACAAAGGCAAGATTGTCCAGTCAAAAATTGGATCTATTTGGAGGTCGAGCACCAGTGTGGACAAGTTGGATACTAAAACTGAGACGCAAAGAAAAATGAGGTCAAAGTCTGTAGATCTGCCACCCTGCAGAACGAGAACGACGGCACTCTCAATGACAAAGGCTGCATTAACAAGAACGGCACAGGAGTCCAACCGTGCTGTCACCAGCCGCCCTCCTGCTGTATTGTGCTCCGCTAGGCCTCCTACCAGGACCATGCAAGCAACACTAACCACTACCAGCTCCAGAAATCGTCCTGTGACTTCCACTAAGCAAAGTGGTTCATTCAAACCAAAGCCAAAGGTTCCAGTGACAGACAAAAAGGTCAACAAGCCTCCTGTCACAAGTTCCCTTAGTCAGTACAGATGTAACATGGAGACCATTGAAGAAAGAAGGTGATATTTATTTAATGACTATGTATCTTAAACATATTGTGATTGTTTTATTTAGATACAAATAAATAGAAAGTCTTACTTTAGTTTTTGTTTTCTGTAGAGCAAAGCTTGCAGAGTGGCTCGCTTCCAAGGGCAAGACACTGAAGAGACCGGCCATGACTGCAGCACCAGCCACACACACCAGAGTCTCCAAACCTGGAGCTCATCTAAGACCTCAGTCTTCTGCTGAGGCTGTGCAGTGTAAACCTGAACATAGTGTTGAAGTCTGTGAGCCTGACAGGCCTGCTGAGTGTGCACATAAACAGGGGGCAGAACAAGAAACGTGTGATCCGACTGAAGTGTTTATCAACACCACAGTGGAGCTGCTGGAAACCTCTGAGGATGGGCCAGATGACGATCAGGATAATGTGGATGATGTGAGTCTTTTGTACTTCTAGTCACATTCAAGTGTCAACTTTTCATTGTACACACTGGGGTTAATTGGTGTTTATTTTTCAGATTGTTGTAAACCTGTGTGAGGCTTTAGAGGCTATGGAAACTCCGTCGACAAGCAGTGATGGTAGGTTTATTGGTAACTATAACTATAGGTGCTAAAATTAGGGATGGCCTGATATTAGCATATTATGTAATATCTGTAAGAATCGTTATTGGTTTTACCTCCGAATATGAAAACCTGATAAGGCAATGCTTGGATTTAGCCAAATGTGCCCTAAAAATAGTTTTGGTAATAAATGGCTGTATATCAAAGTGAAAGTCACTAGATAGCAGCATTGCAGCTCATTTAATTAATCTCATACCCATACAGTGTTTTGTACAGATAAATAAATAAATAAATATTACCAGGCCTAGATCGGTATGGGTGGATATCGGAATCGGAAATTAAGTGTTTGGACAATATTGGTGTATCGGATATCGGCAAAAGTTAATATCGGACATCCCTAGCTTAAATGCTTTTAAATATCAATTGTATGTTTCCCCCAAGGGGGATGAATAAAGCCCTACTCTACATGTAGGGAGCTAAAGAAACATTTTGGTATAACTAGAACTCTAGTTATACAGATTGTATTGTCAGTTCTGTTCTTGTTACAGTTCTTCCGAGATGCCGCGTTTTAAGCAAATGTTTGTCTTTTTCAGAAGTGACAGCACTGACGGAGGAAAACAGTGGTGTAAAAGAAGAGGAAGGCAAACTAAATGGTGATGTTGTAAAAGAGATGAGTGAAACAGAAAGTGAACCAGAGGTGAAATCTGATAATGATGAAGATGAAAAAGAATTAGAAAGTGAGGAGGAGTATGATGATGATGTGATTAAGACCACACCAAAGATGGATGCGTCAGTGGTCAAATACAGTGTAAGGACAACTCCATACCTGCAGAGGTGAGGCTGCTGTTTTTGCTTTCAATGAGTTGATTTAGGGTTGCAGTAAGAATCAGTCAGAAACCAATCATTAATTGTTTCTCCATCACACCTACTGTGTCCAGTGTCAAGAAGACCATTGACGGTGAACTCAGCACGTCCAGGAGAAAGAGCAACATCAAAGACCTGAAGTTTCTGACACCAGTGCGTCGGTCGACGCGCATCCAGCGCAAATCGTCCCGTTTGCCTGAGATGCTAGTCGACCATGATACCTGTGTGTCATCATTGGCTGAGCTGGTGAAACTGGACGATGATCCCAATGCCTATATTTACAGGAAAAATCCTGCTCTTTTAGAGGATCTGCCAGATCAGCTCGGAGAATAGACGGCTCCGTGTTATTGTAAGAAAAATTGCTTATATTCTTTATTTGCAACTGAGTCACTTCATTGGTTGATTTTACTGATGTGTATTTCTTTGAATTATTTTATTAATATCTGTTGACCGTTCTTAACAGAGAACTTGGATCTTACGTATTTTATTGTTCATATCTCTACTAACAATTCAAATGTAAAGCTGACATCCACTACAATAAAAGAGTATCTTATAATAATAATAGCTGGTTGTCACTGAAATAAATTCAGAAATTTTCAACAAAAATAAGAGTTCTGCAGAGAGTAGGAGAATATGACTCATGACTGATCATTAATAGCCACTTGTTTTTTTTTATCAGATGATTGATTTTGTTTTTTTGTCTGATAATGCGGTCGGTTGTTCGGTTTAGCTCCGCCAACAACAAAGTAAGGCCATTAGGTTGTCCGCATGATTCGCCCCCCGGTGGCTCAAACGTGCAACTGCATATATATAAACAAGTTCCCTTCAAAAGGCTGTCTGCTCTATGTGTGGTTGTATATTTGAGCCACTGGAGGGCTCATGACTATAATGTAGTCGCGGGAAAAACTCTAGGAACACTATATCAACCTGGCCGTCATTTTACCTAAAATCTCTTTTTAATAAAAAAAATTGTGTCAATAAAAAAAAGAGTCAATAACACATAGCAAAACTTGATTTCATTTAAAGTAAAGATTTAATTTCCGCTCCCTGCGCATTTAGTGTACGTGCATGTGTGATAGAACCAGTAATTTTCAATATATTTTTTACTATCAACTTTTTATTCTTTATTAAAAACAAAATTCTTTCCCTTGCCCTGTGCTGCACGTGCCCTGCCACCTGCCTGTTGCCGCCGTCTTTTTCTCTACCACAGTAACCCTCCTTCCCTCCATCCTTTAGCTATTATTATTGTTGCTGCTGTTAGTGTTGTTGTTGTAACAATTTCTCAGAGCTCTGTACCCATCCAGAACATGTTTATTGTCTTAGCACAAGCACAGAGAAACAGAATAATGCTATGTAATTATAACGAGGTTGAAAATAGCATTTGAAGAAGATGGAGCATCATATTTTCCTTAGGATATTGTGTGATATCTGCGTATATTTACAATCAACACAGTTATTTTTACTTTAAATGTTTTAAATTATATTAAATATTGCGGACGCGTTTAAATAATCTCTGCCCAAGTTACTTGTATTATGTGCAAAGCTTGCGAGAGGTGGTGGGAAATAATGTGCCCATGGTACGACAGCGACACCTAGTGGCCATTTTCTGCAACAGCATCCAGGAAGTATTTTTTGTGGCCGTATTAGATTATGCGTTAAAAACCAGGTAGGTGAAGTTCTCCTGCTTGGGTTTGGCAGCGAAGTTGTAGTGTCCGATGCGATTCCGTTGGTAGTAGAAGATGCAGACTAAAGCACCGAGGAGGATGAGTGACAGACCAACTCCGAGACAAGCAAAGCCGGCAATGTAGGCTGGGTCTAATTCCTGCTCCGTGTCGACTGAGGAAAAAAGAATCACGTTGTAAACCAGTAAATGTGGTAAAGAAAAACACGATGGATAATGTTGAAATAGAAAATCTGGATAAGACATAGGTCATACAGTGGGAGAGTGGTTGGTTGCTGTGTATTACTGCATCTAGGTCGTGAGTTTTTGTGGTTTAATCCCATGTTCCAAATCACGCAGAATAGGTTCATTGTCAAATCTAATTCGAGCTGGATATAAAGGTGTGAACCCTGTGAATGGGTGACCCTGTGATAGAGTGACTTCCTGTCCAGGATGTACCCCACCCCGACCCAATGAATGCTGGGATTGGCCCTAGTTCCCACGAATAAAGTAATAAAAGATGGATCAAGCACAATAACAAAAATTAACTTTATAGGTTAAAATATAGGTTACACAAGTGTGTTTTTCAGCTTCACAACTTACAGTGAAAGAGTCTGTTCAACGGTCCACCTGAACAGATATCTGATCCAATTGTTTTTGCAGATCGAGATGTTCTACTCTGACAATCCTGGAAGGAAAGGAAAGCTGAATTTTACGGCATGGAATCTCCATAATTCACCGTCTGATCAGGGTGTACTTACAGGCACACAGGAGTCAGAGCCGACCTGTAAACAGATGTGGACCTGGCAGTGCAGGTAGACCACGTCCAGGTTGATGAAGGAGAATATCTGCACGGACACTCGAGAGGTAGTGGAGTTTCCGTTCACCAACACAGTGGTGTACATGTTCATGGGACAGCTGTGGAGACAAGCACACTTTTTAGACTGAGATTTTCATTTTATAGAATAGATATTTTAGTAACTTGAATGAAGGATTTCAGCCCTACATGTACAAATACTTCAAGCAGTTTGTCTTATTAAAACACAGAGTTCAAAACATTTTAAAAAAAAATAGAAATTATAGCTCCTGAATCAGAGCATGTGATTTCATTCTGTTTTAGCCAGCGATCCTATTTATAGTTCCTCAAGACCACCCAGCAATTACAGTGTTGTCATGGAAATCTGGGCACCAGCTGAATGGTTCTTTTTTTTTTTTTTTAACAAAGCAGAGAAGAGCTCTGCATTGATTATATAGAAAATGTCAAGTGGAAAACAATTACATTTGACTATTTTAGGTTAGCATTGATTTGGATTTATTCTTGTTCTTTTGTGATAAATACAAATACATTCTTTTTTTTAATTATTATTATTTTTGTGTGAAAGCATTAACTGGTGCTCTTGGGATGACATTTATGTTTGATCTCTACCTCAACCTCTGAACTTCTCGTTTTACTGGCATCTCCCCAAGAAATCTCAAAATCTTTACTGTCATCTTTCTGGGAGAGAAAAAATGCAAAATGAAACTAAGAATAAAACCCCAAAATATGAATATTTCATAGCTATACACACCTCGTTGTTGCTTATAGTAAATTTGACAATACTGTTTGAAGCAAACACCTGGTTTTGTCAATAATCTTAACCCTCATTTGTGACAACAGTGAACGGCATCAACAGGGCCGTGTGGTTTGTTACAAGCATTGACCACTGCTATTTGTTTTACCTTCCTTCTTCAATGTTTTGTAGTATCCTTATCTTACTTTCCTTTCTCTTCCCCAGAATATTTTACACTGTGTTAAGCTTAAATCAGATACAAATATCCAATTTGAAATTGGAAAATGTGAATGGTATTGTGAACATGAAATTATTTCACCTTGGAGTCAAATACAGTTTTTCTTTTCTAACTAACCTGGATAAATCCTTACATTAACCCTAACAAACATTGTCAGTGACAGAGTGATTTTTGTAGAAGCAGACCTGTTCTCCAAGAAGGTGTTGCTGTATGAAGCTGCAGGATTTGGGATGGGAGTTGCCCAGCACCTGTTGATGACCACTTTAATTTGCTCCGAGCTGGTGTTCAGTCTGACCTGCACTACCACCGCCTCGTCTCGGGACATTGTGTAGTTGTACGGCAGAGGCACTGTGCCATTCATGAGCTGCACCATCACGTGGAATGAGCCCAGGCCCATAATGATATCTTGGATCAGATCGTACCTGCCGGTGAGTAAGAACAAAGTTTCTCAGAATTCAGTCACATGTAGCATAAACTACATCTCCCATAGTTCACGTTGATTTTGTGACCTAACTCCCAGCATCTTGGTCAAGTACTAGACCAGTGTTTCCCAAACTTTTTTTTCTGGGACCTATATTTTAAAAGTCACAAACCTTCATGACCCAAGTCAATAGACATTATTCGTAAACTCCTGGGAAACATGATGAGAGACCCAAAAAGAAAATCTCTTGTGACCCAGGATCGCTACCCAGTCTTTGGATAACAATGCACTAGACTGTTTAATAAATATTATTCCTGTTTTGCCCACAACTTAGACTGTGGCCCCTTGATTAATTAAGGGGCCATTGGTATGGGCATCACTTTAGTAAATACAGATATCATTTGTTGAGACAAATCATGTGGTAATACCTGAGTATTTAATTTTCAATATTACATACAAAAAAATGTAATGTACATGTAGAATTAGAGATCTGATAAAGCTTTGACCTAAGGCACCGTGTGCAAGTTACTGTTTTTTTTATTTGAGAGAAAATGTTAGGGGTTGTTGTTATAACCTTGATTATAGTTGTGAAAATTGTAAGTTGGTGTTACATTTACATATATAATAATATAATTAATGATCTTTAAAAGTGAGTAAATACCTGAACATTATGAACATATGAAACCTGGACAAGTATTTATTTGTATTTACTGTATTTCACAATGATTTTTTCCATGTACTGCTCCAGCTCCAGTATGAGTCATACTGAGGTTCTTTTGTAACAATGACACATACAGGGGGTGAAAAAAAAAGCTGAAATTATTTTCTACAGCAACTATGTAAGGTGTCATACCCCATGGAGTTGAAGTTAGCAGAAATGAGCTGGCTCCTCAAATAGGTGCACACGACAGGCACTTCCAGTCGAATTCTGGGTACCTCCACTGTTCCGCTGGATGAGGTGAAGGATGCCATGCTGTTGAACAGGGTCACGGATGCTGTGTAGTAGGTTTCATTCTGAAAAGAAGGAGAAACGTCGGAAGCGGCTTGAGTTTGAGCTGCGTCAGCTCAAGAAAGAGACCTACAATTCACACGTTTTTCAAAGCACACCAAGACTCACTTGCATCAGCATTGTGCTGCACTCATCCCAAGCCACAGTCAGTCGGACGTGGGTGGCATTGGCACCCTTGACACCACATTCCACCAGGCCTAAGTATAGTGCATTTTCCCTAATGTTGGCTTGGTGAAGGAAGTCTCTGGCCACTGTTACGGTGATATCAGCAACACTGCACTGCACTGAGATGGCCCCTGACATGAAGATGTTCCCTAGGGCAGCAGTGGTTGTGGGTACTGGAGCAGGAGAGATAGTAGTAGTGGCGGGCGTTGAGGGAGATGTAATGGATGTCACTGGGACTGTGGTGGTTGTTGGAGCAGCTGTGACCGATGGTGTAGTGACTGTTGTAGAAGGAGTAGTGGCAGCTGTTGGATTAGGGGTAGTTAATGATGGTGGTGTGGTTGTTGGGGCCGAAACTGTAATGGTTGGGGTGATGGTATTGCCCACAGTAGTGGCAGTTGTAAAGGGAATAATGGTGGTTGTCAGATCGGTGGTAGTTAATGGTGATGTTGTGGTCGTTGGGGCCGAAACTGTTGTTGTTTGAGTGATGGTATTTCCTGTAGTAGAGGTGGTCATAGAGGGTATAGTGGTGGTTGTTGGGGTGGTGATGTCCAGTGCCATAGTACTGGTGTCAGCAGTCACCGGGGTAGGAATGGGCACAGTAGTGGTAATAGCAGCGGTTACTGGCTCAGTAGCTGTTATTGGACCAGTAGCTATCAAAGCAGAGCTGGTGGGTGATGTTGAAGTGCTGGAAGTCATGGAGCCTGACGTTAAAGAGACAGCAGGAGACGCCGATGATGTCATTGGCTCCAAAGCAGCTGAACAAGATATTCTTGTTACAATATTGAAATTCATGATGTGTGAAATGAAGCTGTTAGACTCGACCCCGCCGCCCCCTACCTCGACAGTCTCTCCCCGGTCTGTCTGGGTTGTTGTCGGTAAATCCATCCTTGCAAACACATGAGTAAGAGCCCCAGGTGTTTGTGCAGTTAGCCCACTGGGAACAGTCGTTATCATCTGATGTACATTCATCAAAGTCTACAAAATTACAAAAAAAACAACAAATTAAACCAGTTGTAGAGCAGTTGAGGAGAGATTAGATGACACAGCTAGCCTGCTAGTTAGCTAGTGCCTTCATTAGTTCTAGTTAGTTTGTTAGTGCGGCAAAAAAACTAAAACAACAATAGACAGTAAGCCAGTTACAACAAGTATGAGGTCCAGTTTATATACATACATATATTGTATATATCTTTTTATATATTGCTGTATATTGCTGAATTCACTACGGGGGGGCCGGTTAAAACATATATTTCACCCGTCCATCTGAGCATGGGTTTCAGAAACTCAGGACTTACCTCTTATATTTGTTCTGTTTCTGTCCACAGTGTACCTGGAACTATTTGTGAGGGAGTTTATCAATGCAACAGAAACGTCACTGATGTCGTGGCTGCTACTGGGTCTGACGACGATGAAGGTCAAGTTGACCACCACGCTCCCCTGTGAAATGCTTGTGATCTCGATTCTCACCTCTCCTGAATCCACCAAAGCCTTCATCTCTGGAGACAGAGACTGGTAGAACTGTTCACAAAAAGGTTATAAAAAAAACTTCAATATATTCACAGCTCACACTCGCTCACGTACACTACATGCACTATACCCACCTCCGCTACAATGCCTTCAGTAAGATTTCTGTAGGCCTCACTGCTGCTGTTTTGAAGGTCTGTGGTGAATTCTATGTTGGTGAGTCGAACTGTGGCATCTAGAGTCTGAGCATCTGTGGAGAAAAGTATCCGTACAAGTAATACTTCACCACATGTCAATTTTTTAAATAATTGTTTTCATAGTTTTTTAAACTTATATACAATATATATTTGAAAACTGACCAGGCGTGAACACCCATCCATCTATTGATCCATTCATCCATCCATCTACTGATTAGGCCTAGAAAGATCTTCAATAAGTCAAAGAGAAGTCACTCCATACCTGTTCTGACAAGAATCTGTGAGGCGGCTCCTTGCCTCTCACAGGCCCGTGGTATGACTGTGACACTGTAGACAACCCCGGGGTTCAGTCCCAGCAACGTCTTTATGGTCTGATCAATTACCCAAGAATCAATGACCTCTGAACCCTTGCTTAATATGACTTCATAGGTCTGGTTGGACCGAGACTGACTGGACCAGTAGACACTGAAGGAGATTCCAGTGATGTTACATGACATTAGGGACGTGATGCTGGGAGGAGCTGTTGGGGGGGGGGGGGGGTAAAAAAGGGGGAGACGAACAAAGCGAACATCTTTATAACTCATTGAAATAGGATACAACACATACTGTAACAATAGGCATAGAGAATTCATGCAGTATTTTAAGGGATTATTAGATTAGATTAGATTACAGAATGGGTGTTGCCTGAATAATGTCAGACAAAAGCTATCAAGTCTCTCATCAGACAGAAAAAAAATAGTTTTCTTACAGCATACTGTTGTCAGCGGAGGTATCTCTGTGCTGCTATAACTGTCCGTGGTCGTCCACAGCAGAGAATGGGATGAATTATAGGAGACATAGTTTGTATCAGTCAGTAGTGTAGTGGTGCTGATCTCAGACCAGTTAAAGAATCCAGTCACGCTGGTGTCTGTAGCTTCCACTGTGGTGTTGGACACTGGGATGAAGGTTGTGTTCATGGGTGGGTCAAAGGTCGTGGGGATCTCTGTGGTGGTCAGTACCTCATCTTCAACTGAAAATGAAGAAAAACAGCACCTTCAAATACACAATATCAAGTTTTATTTTAGCCTTGTCATATCTGTCTATAATTAAATGCCAGGGTTATGAAATAACATATTTGTGTCAACATTTTGTGTCAACATTGTAGACATGCTGCTGCACTTGACAATAACGTAGTTACAAGTGAGATCAAATGTTACGTGCAACTCACGTGAACTTTTACCTCTGGACCAAATTATAGTCTCTCTGGGTACGATTATATTCTCATAAAGAAGAGGACATGCACAATTATGAAAATGTTTCAAGGTGTCAGGAACGGAAATGAGAATAAATCAGATGAAACAGATTTTGGATTGCACTAACTCTTCTGAGAGATGGAGAATGAAATCTGTTTTTAATTATGCATTCGCTTTTTAAACAAGCACTTGCCAGAAGTGGGGAGTGGTCATATAATTCTGTCATCATCTATATTTCCCTAATCCTTAATCCCTTGCTTTTCCTAATGGTAACTAAAAAAACATACACGCACACCCACAGACTCGCTCTCACTTGTACAAATGAATCCAGGGTTGCTGGGATCAACATCCCTGTATCCTTGGCGACATGTGCACTGGAAGGATCCCACTGTGTTGGTACAGTCAGCTTGAGGCGAGCACTGATGGAGAACGGGCTCCACACACTCATCTACGTCTGAAAATACATACATGAGAAATGGCACATGCACACAGTCCAGACTGTTAGCGCTCATGTGACATAGACAGCAGTTCAAAGCAAATGTGTTTTGTTTACTTGCTCCATTACATTAATAAAACTCCACATATACCCCACAGTACTATGACATTAAAAACTATTCTATTCTACACAGATATGTACGTACCTGGTAAAGCTGACCACTGCCTTAAATATTATATCTGTTATGCATTATATTTTTGGACCTTTAATCTTGTTAATGATGTCAATTAGATAATACCTAGATCTAACAACATCTTAATCTTACACAAAACTTTAATTTACCTCGATGCATCTTGATTGACATGGGTATTTCATATTGCACAAATATACAGCAAAAAAACTTTGTCTACATGTTCAGCACCACATGAAGCCATCCATCCATCCATCCATCCATCCATCCATTATCTGCCACTTATTCCTTCACAGGGGTTAAAGCACTCTTCAATTTATTTTACATATTAATTATGCGTAAATGTTAATGTAAAGAAAGATTAAGAAAAGAAAGAATTTACACCCTGTTTGAAATCTGTTATCAATCAAAACAAAATGTAAGCATTTGATTCTGTTTTGTCTTCTTTTTGGTGTAGACTTGTTATTTCTAATATGAAGAACTGAAGAAGCCTCTTGGATTAGAGGTGAGACATCTTCTTTTAGAAAATTCACGTCCAGTTGCCTAACAGAACTTTTTAAAACTTGACCATGACCTGGATGACTGAGAATCTTCATAGACATATTTCTAATGTGTTTTCCATTCCTTGATTCAAAGGTCACTCACTGACGTCAGATACACAGAAACAGACCTTTAAAAGAAACAGACGATCACTCACATCAAAGATTATTAGCCCACTCTGTCCTCACTTTTTATATTTATTCAAGGAAACTTATTAAAACAGCAAATCTAACCTTGTATAGCCCTCAGAGTTCAGAAAGCACTCGTATGTATTAACCAGCATTTTTTTGCCGCAGCAAATCACAGTCCCGACACTGTGTCCCAACCACCATAAAATAGCTGGACTGATTCATTCATTAATGTATTGTGTTGTATGAATTCATGCTGACACAAATATTTCAATATGCAAAGACAGCTGAAATCATTTCCTTTGAGAAATTCGGTACAAACCTTTTTCTTACAACCCTAATTGTAATGTTTTCAGGTTAGAACAGGTCGGACCTGAAATACTTGTCTCCCTTGTTGTTCTAATTCAAAGGCTGAGACATTCAAGGCACATCATCATTTTGGCATAAAGGGAAGAATGAAACTCTGCTGCAAGGAGGAAATAATCTGCCAGATGACAGTGTGAAGTTGATTTGATGTGTGCCGCAGTGTCTTATTGTGTTTGTACAAATGTATGATTAATTCGTGACTAATGTGCGTGCGTGGTGTTATTTTTCCGTTACCGCAGGAAACATCTAGCAGTCAACTGCCACTCATGTAGAAGTGGTGGGAGAAGGAAAGTGAGGTGCAACTGAGTCATTTTTTCCTGAACACTGTGTTCTCTGCTTGATCTACAAGAATGTCGCTTCTCTTTTAGAAAAGCAAAAAAAAAAAAACCCCAAGTAGCTTAAATCTTAAAAGTGACAAACAACCTGTGTCTGCTTACCTTCCACAGTTACTGACGACACTTCCTGTATGTGTTTGAGGAGCAGATGAAGCTTCGATGTGACATCGTCCAATGACAGAGTCTCGTTGAGGTCTATGAGCAGCGAGGTGGCAGTTCTGTATGGGTGCACAGGCCACGAGCTGAGGTAATGAACTAAGACGTCATCGAACTGCAGCGCTCCACTGACCTTAGATAAAAGAGATACAAGGAATTTAACCTTAGGATGTTAGAAAATGTGATGCTGACGTGAGAGACTGAGGCTCAGGAGTGCAGTGGCTTGACATAGTCTGCTCTGAAACTGTCATAGAAAAAGTGGCGATAACTCATTTGTGAAGATACTGTATGTTAATCAGTTTTCTGGACTAAACTAATAGAGAAAATTCTTTTATCGGATCAGTCAAAGTTTCAGTCTGTATTTGAGATTAAGAGTTCAATCTTGGTAATGTATGACGATGCATCAGTGGTCTCTATACATATATATATATATATAT